TAAACAATGATATTTAATAATCTAGTCCATTAAACAATGATATTTAATAATCTAGTCCGTTAAACAATGATATTTAACGATATACATCGTAAAACAATGATATTTAATGATATACTTCGTTAAACAATGATATTTAACGATATACTTCGTTAAATAATGATATTTAACGATATACTTCGTTAAATAATATACATCAACGACTCCAATATATATCGATATATATCAAATATCTGTTTCGATATGCATTGATGACTCTGATATATATCGATATATAACTAATGATAAAAATCGATACAAATCACCCCAAAAAATTTCCTGATGCAAAACTATATTTCTGGATCACAAATTCAGAAATTCATTTTTTCTCTTTTCTTCTAATAATATGATTTTTACAGAAATAGAAGATGCAAAGTATTAGATTAAAGATATATTGGAGACTTTAAACTTTATTTCTTTCAGATATATATCAGAATTTAAAGTATTATCAGATATATCAGATATCAAGATATTATTAGATTCATCAGAATTTGAAATATTATTGGATATATCAGATACTAAGATATTATTAAATTCAGAGATATTATCAGAATTTGATGTGTTATTGATTATTTTAGATATAGGTATATTGTTAGAATTTACTATTTTAGTAAGAATAATATTAATCAAAGATTTACAGTATATAATAAAAGTCTTTGGACAAAATCATTTGATTATTATGTCACAATAACTAAGTCAAACCAACTGATTAAGAGATTTATTTAAAAAAAATTAGTATGAGATACATTCATTATTTTTTTTTGATAATAAGCTTACAGCATCTTTTTATAGATCTTATTAATTTATTAAGAATCAATTGGAGAATTTCTTCCTATTTCTTCTTCATAAATTACTCCAATTGCTAAAGATTTTTTGATTGTCATATCTCTACATTTCTCTTAATGATATTTTATAGATTTTTAATAGAATTTAGGTTAGAACTGTTAAAGAGCCAATTCATCACTATAAAGAAGTTCTTTTAGAGGAATTTTTTTGCTATTTTGCTAGTATGCTTTGGATCATTGTCTTGTTGAAACTGCTAATTCCTCTTGAATATCCTCTTAATCTTAGGAATATATTTTTGTAGAATATTAACATAGAGAGAACTATCCATATTTTTTTTAAAATAGTACAAACTTGTTTTGTCTTTTAAATAAAATTCACCTCATGCATTAATTTTTGATCAGACTTTTGGAATCTGATAAACTGGTTATTTACTCTTATATTAAACTTGTACAATATTTCAGAATAGGCAGAATGATATTTTATCAGAAAATAAGATATAATGCCATTTGTTATTAAGATATTCTTGAACCTATTCTATGTGTTTTTATTTGTGTGCTTCTGTAAGTATTGGTATTGTCATAGGAAGCTGTTTTTTGAAATTATGCTGGCCTAAATATTTTAAAATTATCATATGTGATATCTTTGTGTCATTTTTGATCAATTTGATAACTAATATTCTCATTGATATGACAGGATTCTTTTGAACAATTTGTCCAACAGATCTTGAACATCCGGCAGTGATTTTTTTCAGATGATCACTCCACTTTTTGTGAGCTGTACTTTCATTTTCTTTTAATTTTTTAATATTATAATAGATAGTTGATTTGGAAATTTTTGTTAGGTGGCTACATTCTTGCCCTGCAGCCAGAAATGCTCAATGGTTTGGGCATATGTATTTTTTTTGGCAGCTGACATTTTTATTCCTTTTTTTTTTTAGCAAATGTATCAATGGAATCCAGGAGAAATAGAGTAAAATGATTCTTGATAACACTAAATTTTAATTTTTTTTGTTTAACCTGGTTTAGATTGAAATTGGGTAAGTTATATGAATTTAATTTTGATCGACAGTAGTCCAAAGACTTTTGTTACACACTGTATCATCTTGCAACTGCTTTTGTTCCAACTTCGCAATTCATTCTTCATTTTCTTTTGCCAATCATTCTAATTCCACAATTCTAAGCTCAAGCTTATTTTTTTCTTTCGCAATCTATTCCAATTCTGTAATTCTAACCAAAAGTCTAGTGTTCTCTTGTTTCAATATATCTAGTTCAGATTTGGTATTTCCCATTGTTTTGTATAAGATATGATATATTCAAATAAAAATAAACACATGATTTTGATCGTGAGCGGTGTTCATGATTTTTGATCACAATTAATATACACATGCATATTACACGAAAATAACACATGATACGTTGTACGTTCCTCTATATTAATAAAATACAGATAAAATACGGGATAAATAAATCTATCTAATTTGGGGGTGGGGATGTTACTGTTGAACTATCTAAATTATCATCAAACAACAACTTACTGCGGAACTCAATGCACGTGTGGAAGGTTTAACTGCGGATCTTACAACACAGGATGCCAAATTTGTTGTCGAGGGACAGATAATCCTGACAATGGTAAATACCGTGATCAAAACTATTAATGAAATCACCACCAATTATGAATCCCTTCGTGATCAGTTGGACCATTTAACTGAGACGGGTTCCGTGGCACCATTAATATCTGAACAATTTGCTGGCTCATCTATGATTCTCCCCGAAGATCATCTTCTGCTTCTTCTCTGGGTTCTTCCAGTGGCTCAAGTCAATTATCGTTTTCTGATATTACCTCAACAACCAGAAATCACTTTAAACTTATTTTTGATAAGATTATGACAGAAAATAATTATTCTTTAGACGACATGTCCTCTTTAGGTATAAATTCGTTAACATGTTAGAATAAATTCCGCATGCAAATATTTATTCCTATATTTATTTTAATTTACCTAAAATTAAATCGAGTTTTTTATCGAATTCCTTAGATTGGTTTTCAAGTTTTTCCTTCATTTCTTGGTTTTGTTTTTTAAATTCTCTGGATTGATTATCAAGCGTTTCCTTAATGTCTTGATTTTGAATTTCAATCTTTTCTTTGAGATCAATGATTTGGCTTTCAAGTTTTTCGATTTGACTTTGGAATTCTTCTTTGATCCTTTTATTTTGTTTTCGAAGAAATTTGTTCTCAGCTTCCAACTCATTGGCTTTTCTTTTCCTTTCCTCGTTTTGCTTTTTAAGTTTTTCTTGTTGCTCTTCCAAGATTCGTGCATATTCAAAAATTTTATCAACGATCTCATAGTAAAAACACACACAGATACGTTCCTTAATAGGAGAATTTTCTAATTCTATTCTAGCATTATCACCTAATTCGACATTTGAAACGAGAAAGCCTACAGATGTTTCTGGTTTTTTTGAAATTGTATTCAAGAATTCACGTAAATCTTTGACAAGAATTTTACTTTTCAGATTTAACCTAATAAATAAATAAAAAATAAAAAAAAATAAATAAATACATGTTGAATCAATCTGAGTGTCTACATGGGCGACTACACAAGTAATTAGCAGTTGGAATTTATGTCATCAACCTGGGACCCCCACAGTGTCTAGACCACCACCTGTCTGTGTCTCACTCAACCACAGCGTAACTTACACACCGATTGTCAAAAGGTCATTGTGAATATTTACGAGCAAATATCACTATCAACACGTATTTAGCAAGAAATTCTTACCATTTACTCTGGATCAAAAAAATCAAAAGTTTATATTGACCATGAAGATCAATGTTTCCATCGGATATACGAGGCATAGTATTTTTTATTAAGATAAACGAGTGTTTTATTAATGAATGAAATGATTCCGTTTTTTTCAAGAAATTGGTGAATGAAATATTCAAGTAATTCTCCTTTTCTTTCGTTGATGATTCTATCATTCGTTGAGTTTAAAAACTCAATAAAAGAAGTAATGATCTCATAATTGGAAGATGGTTTTCAATAAAATCCTTGAGGGATAATTTAAGTCCATGAAGAATTAATTCAAATGAGGACATTTTTAAGAAACAATGGTCAATAACCCAAGCTGTTTATATAACCATTTCTTCGTCCCCATGTTTTTCTTTTTAAAGAAAGCAAACTCGTTTACTTAAATCAATATTTGTCGTACTATACTTATAAACAAACAAATTGATTTTGTGCGAGTGATACAAATCCAAACCGCAGAAATTGCAGATTAATGGCAGAAATTAGAACTTTGTGTTGCAGAAATTGCAGAGATTGCAAAAATTGTGAATTTCCCTTTGTTCTTTTATAGAAAACGTGTACAAATTTTTGACACGTTTTTTTGATTAAAAATTAATTTTGTGATGGCACGACATAAGAAAATCACTTCTCAAACTCGTATTTCTGAATTTCCTGGTCATTTTTATATTAATGACAATCTACTTTTTTGCAATTTTTGTAATATT